ATTTTGATGACCTGAGGGAAAATGTCGTAGGATGCTGTGAGTGTCAAAAAAAACCTCTTAAAAATATCCACAACATCAAATTGCTGGCCTGTGCTAATAACAGGTAGTGTTGCAGTCAGTCATTAGAAATGGTGCAGGGCACTTCAAACCTACCATCGCAGTACCACAGATTCACAGAATGGTTGGGGTTAGAAGGGAACTCTGGAGGTCGTCTTGTCCCACCTCCCTGTTCAAGCAGGGCCACCTACAGCTGGTGGACTATGTCCAGATGGCTTTTGAGTGTCTGAAAGGACAGAGGCTCCACAACCTCCCTCGGCCTACACTGCCAGTGCTCGGTCACCCTCATAGTAAAAAAGTGTTTCCTTATGTTCAGACACAACCTTCCATGTTTCAGTTTGTGCCTGTTGCTTCTTGTTCTGTCACTGGGCACCAAGGAAAAGAGCTTGGCTACATCTACTTTACACCGTCCCTTCAGATATTTATATACAGTGAAAAATCCTCCCGAGCCTTTTCTTCTCTAGAAAGAGAACTTTTTCCATTCTGCATTGCTGTCTGCAATCACAATCCATGTTACAAGCATCACCACAAACATTCACTGGGCAGTTATTTGCCCCATTCCTTTCTAAGGAATATGAATATGGTATGTAAGAGCCAACACTGGAACACAGCTTATTATGAAACTAAGAAATGATAGCTTTTGTGACAAGATTTTCTAAGCTGATGAATGAATATCCTCAAAGTTTTGCTTCCCACTTTCAAATGTTTTAGAGGATCTGGTTTTCAGAAAATGCTGAGCCCTTTCTGCTCTTCTTTTCTCTTTTGAATAAGAATCTCACACTTCAGATACCAAAAAATACTATTTCAGATAATGAAACTTAGTTTTCAAATATTTGTCATATAAACAAGGTATACAAGCCTCTGAAGATGGGACATAGTTGTTCTGAATTAAGTAGACAGGTCCTTGATAAAGAGCCACAGATACAGTTGTTTACAAGTCAGTTTCCACTATGAATCCTGTTTAGCTTTTAGAAAATAGAGCTGCAAAGCAAAAACTGCTTTATTCTAGGAACTGAAGTGTACATAAATAGTAGAAAACCACTGGTTCCACTCCAAACCATTCATTCACCACCTATTTTCATCGTCTACCTCATCCGTGCTGTGTGAGTTGTACATACCAATGAACATGTAATCCTCATACCTCAAATGTGGAGCCACATGCTTTGCTTCACTTAGGATTACTGCAGCTGCAAAGAAGAAAAGGCCTGAAGAGAAAACAGCAGTAACAGAAAACCAAGTATAACCCCAGCCAGGCTCCAGAATATGGTTAGTGTTATACTCATTTTACTCAGATATCAAGTAAAATTCAGACTACATTCAATACTTTCCAGTTTGCCAGTCAGTTCCAATTACAAGGCACAGCTGTTTAGAACATTTTATAGTCATTTGAAGGCTCTATATTTAATCTGAATAATTCATAGTATTCGCTAAGAGCATTTGGTATTACTTTCAATTATGAACATTGTCTTTTCAGAATGTAAAGTAACTAGTACATACTTGGCCAGATCTTCTGCCTGCGCAAATTGATGCAGCTTCATTGACTTCAAATAGAGCGATTCCGATTTATGTGAGCAGACAGTGTGGGCTACAGCATAGTTACAATAGCTCTTTTTCGTGAGGTACAAACCCATTGGCATCCTCGGTAGCTCCATGCTGTGGAAAGGCTTAGAAACCCTAAACTAATCCTCCATTTCAGAAAGCCATTCCTGCTCTCCCAAGCTTAGCCATCGAGCTGATACATATATATGCACACATTTGTGTGTTTGTATATGTACACGTGTACGTATGTAACATGATGCATATGCTTTATGTATGTATGTGTGTACATGTGTTCTTCCTCTATATATTGCACTAATTCTCAGAAGGGGAATGCACGGCTCTTTTGACTGATTACCATGTAGCAAGGATTGGAAAATAAAAGGGGCTGCACAGCCCAGCCTCTGAACTCATGGTTGACAAGTTAGGGAGAGAATGCTTTCTGTGTAATGTAAGAAAGAAAAGGGTGTGGGCCTGTAGTCATACCCCAAGAAACATCCTCCTCCCTCCCATGTTCTTTAGATATGTAATGGATAAAAATATAATAATATAATAGCAATAAATATGTAACGAAGAAATACACAGAAAAATGTGGGGGGTTCACTTTTTTGAAAGCATTTGTTGGGGATTTTTTTACTTCTTTACTTTCAAAAGTCAGCAACTTCCTAATTCATTGAAATGTTCAAATCCTGACAATTTAAACTTTTTAAATTTTTTTTCTTGTACCAACAGTTAAAGACTTGAGAGAAACCTCCCAGAAAATTATGATATTCAGGGTAAGCTAGCCAGTTATAACAAATACATTGCTCCTATTTTTCTAAAAAGCCATGCCAACTGGAATTGTCACTGCTAGAGCATCAGGTTCAGTGTGCAGCTGGTAAGAATTCTGCTTCTTATTTTACCTCTTCTGTAACTTTCCCCACAGATTTTTTGTCCAGTGAGTGCACTACACTGTCCTTAATAGCAGCCATTACCTGTTGCTGAGATGATGGTGCAGGAAACTCTGATCAGCTCCAAATACAGTGAACCCAAGATACAGAATTTTAATTACTCCAAGTAAATCATGAAAAACATCAAGATGAAACTTTCCTGAGGGCAGGTCACTTTCAGGTTCTGTCTCTTAGTCTGCCTCAGTAGAAGTACTGTCTCATATGTGAACTATAATATAGAGGAGAGTGAGATTGCCCTTAACTTTTGCCAAAAGGTGTCATCTAACTATAGTATTTTACAATGTGAGAGGAAAAAAACTGAGTATATATGCATGTCTCATACACTCATTACAATTTTCTACTTCTTTTTGGTAACTTGTTAGCTGTGCTCTTGAAATATATATTACTATAGAGTAAGTTATAGCAACTGTAGGTTGCATGGTTCTCGATGGCAGTTCACTTCTTTCCTGTACTTTTTATTGTCTGTATATCACTTGAAAAACAAATAATCAGTCACCTTCTAGATGCTAGATGACCTGCTAGATGATATAGCCTGTGTAACAACCTGCCCAGCCAGGTGCACTGAGCTGCTACGTCTCATATATTTTTTTCTGAAATCATCCTACTGTAAACAAGGAACTTTATCTGACACAAGAAAACAAACAGAGCTAAACAAAAGAAAAAAACTGCCTGTTTCCTGGAGGAGATGATATTGTCTTACATTCTGTATTGCCTGTTTAGAAAGCTATGTATCTTTAACTCAACATGCAGTGAGATAATTGTCTGTAGCAATCCATTTCAACAACTGTGTATGTGTCATCCTGGTGTAAAAAAGGTCTAAACGGCCCTTTGATCACCATCTGCTGTCCTGTCGGGGTACTGCAGGGCTGGGCAGCCTGCCTTCTCCCGCAGGAGCTGCAGAGTTGACCAACTTCGTGGAGAGTGCCTTCTAATACTCTAGTGCTGGACTTACATTTAAACTGTGATTTTGCATCCCCTATATAACGCTCATAAAGTTTAAGTAGAAAGTAGATTTTAAAATAATTCTGAGATAAAGACGACAAAGTATCTCAGTGAAATCGGCACTTCATGAAAATAAGTAGGTTTGGGGTATAATTGTTTCCAGACTTATTTTGGCTCCTTTGGTACCATGTCTTAGATGTTACATAGTTGTTTGCCTAGAGAAGGTTGGTATATGGAGATGGTAATTCCGGTAATTTCAAACAAAAAAAAATCTGGAAAGCCAAGTTTGATAAATATGTATGCAAGTTTGTATATCCTATGCCAATCAAGGACTGGGAGTCCATGCCTTTGAATGGATGTGAAAAATACAATTAGGAGGAGGAAGAAAGAGGACATGGGGAAGAGAATATGTGGAAAAGATGGGAAAAGAAGTAGTAATTAAAAAGGAGAATAACAAAAAGGCAAAATAAGGCTCTCAGAAATGACTGAAGGTACAAACAGAAGGCAATGATGAGAGGGACAGAAGCTGTGGTCTTAAGTTTTCAGTAGCAGCATTAGTAGACACTTGCATTGTAGCTAAAAATGACAAAAATGGACCATGACTCTCAGTAGATGGATCCAAGAGCAGAGAAAAATTATACTAACACCAAAAATATATTTAAAATTGATTATGTGGACTATGTAGTGAGACTTAATGTTTCCCTAAACCCATACTGTGGTACCACAGCAATGTATTTAGGATAGAAGTCTAGGAAGGATCCATTAAATTTTGTTTGCCACTGTAACACTAGGGTTATTAAGTTTATACACTGCCTCAATTGTATCATATGGGCTATGCCAATCTGGTTGTGGTCAGCCAGCAGAAAATTAACTCACTGAAGAAAATTCTTTGCTGGCTTCATGGAGTATTGTTAGGGGAAATAAGAGGGTTTGCTGTAATGTGTATGCTCTGTACCACAAATTAGACCATGGGCCACTTCAGACTGGAGCATAGGCTGTCATTAATGTTGAGTGAGATGTCCACTGTGATTCCAGACCCTTCCCTCTACTGAGCAGAACTGAAACTCAGGGTGGAGTCCTTCATATTTAATGTGTCTCCTGGACTGCCTGGCACCTTACATATGTAATAATCATATTTCATTTTTGTGCCCTTTTGCATTTTACAAAGGATTATCATGACATATGAAGAAGTCCATAAAGGAAAACTTCGGAACTTTCTTGGAGGGGGATATCTCACTTGTTGCTTCATAGAGAGGATAAAAGACCCATATTCCTGACTGGCAGATTTTTTCAGCTGCCAGGGCCATTGACAAACTTTCTGTCAATCTCTCCTACCTGTAGTCACCAGATGGCTTTACATAGTCTTCTTTGGCAATGCTGCCCCACCACAGCTATGAAATTGCCCCTGTTACTGGATGGTTTAGGACCTTGACAATAGTTGCATAGAACACACACAGCTACGAAGCTCAAATCTGGTTTGGGTTTTGGATTTTTTTTCTTTGTAGGGAATGGAGACATGACCAAAAGTCTTATCTTGCCTAAATCTGTAGGCCACAGTGTGAAACTCAATTTATAGTGAATGTTTGCCATACAGTTCTCCCGTAAGTATGAATTTTCATACAAAAGAATTTACAAAGTTAGCATTTTACATCTAAGGTAATCAAATATTTTTGTTAAATTTGACCTGTGCTAGGCTTTTCATAGTGGGTAGCCATCACTGCAGCACTTCACATCTCTTCACATTCATTATATTGGCACAAGATTACTTGAAGAATCTTTCATGGCTTTGGGGAAGTCATGTTAGTTATTGTTAACAATGTATTAAATTTATAAACCTTGATTTAAAATTGATAGGTGAAGTTATGTTATTGATGTCAACAGGACCGGGATTCTAAATGTTAAATGTGGCAAATCAGAATTTGGAGAAATTGCTGCCTTAATCCCAGGCACCTTTAGCCCACTCCCTGTCATCCTAATGCCCTTCTGTTTGATATTTACTTCTTTGGACATTGCTACCTCACTCCTTTTGCAAATCCATGTTAGCACTGATGTCATAAAGTAAGCAGAATGAATGTGTGAAATTGCTTGTAAAATTATCAAATGAAATGAATAGCAAATATGATTACTTTTTTTTTTTAAGTTGAATAAGGAAACTGTCAGCAATGATGCACTCTCGTAATGCTTACTAGAGCTGAACAGTATATATATAAGTCTGTGCAAAAGAGGCAGCTAGGCAGATCTCAGGATCCTCAAGGCTTGCCATAGTTCCAGAAGAGAGAGTAGCAGGTCTTTCTACAACTGCTACATATCACTTCAAAGTATAAAAAGGTAAGATTTATATGAACTACCAGTACAATTTGTTTGAGAAAACTGAGTGCATTGTCTGAATTGTATAGCCCAAAGTTTGCAATAGAGGTGCAGCAAATTGGTGTTTTCTTCTGTGGTTGTACTCACCAATGTCTGGAGTTAATGACATCATCATTTAAATCTTTTAATGTATTGAATTAGTTCAACAGAGAATGATCCGAAAAAGGGAAATCAACTGTTTGGGTTGCAGAAGCAATTGAGAGAAGGAAGATTAGCCATGAGAACATGAAAGTCATGCATTGTAGAAAGCATTTAAATGTGAGATACATAATTACTGATTTTTATATTTTTATCTCCTTTAGTATCTTCTCTAGAGATATTTAATGAATGTGATTTTTGAAATATTCACTCCTTATAGATACTGCCTAATTAAGAATCAATGGGGATTAAATTAGCAGAATGCAAACAAATTAAGCGGGTTTATATAGACACTGATTTAAAGCTGTCCAAGGCAGATAGATTGTCACTCCATCACCCTACAGATTGCCACTCCACTGCCCTACCTTTAGATTATTTTGTCCAAGCAACTATTTTTTTCATATCACTGTAAGATCTGAAAAGGAAATTATATAGCACAAAAGTAAAAATTAAAGCCTTTCAATAGTTATTGTGATTATTGTATAAAATTTAATTTAGTCTTCCATCCTACTATGGATTTCGTTAGACTAGAACCATTATATTTCACAGAATTTTCCACCAGGCATTACAGCATGGTAGGTAAATTAGATGTAAAGTACATCTACCTGAAAAAGTAATATATTTATAATTAGAAATAAATGCTATTTGCAAACAGTTCCATGTCAATAGAAATCTGTATTATTCATTCATGCCTTTTCATAGGAAAATATTCCCTTAACTATTGTAACTGCATAATTCCTATTTTTAAACAGGAGATACAAATCAGACTTTTGAAAGATTCTTTTTTTGAAAGCTCAATGAAATTAAGCTAGTTAAAATTGCACATAGGTACAAAAGACCTCTGCAGTAATATATATTGGAAAAACTAGCAAAAACATGTTGATCAAAGAAATAATATTCCAGTAAGTTTCCGATCAAGATTTGAGAGACATATTTGTAACATACTTTCTGGTGGTTCAAAGTAAGATGTGTTAATTTTTCATCTCCAATCAGAAAGAAATTAAAACATTTCCATTAGCCTAATATGCATATGAACAAAAATATTTTGTGTAAGATTAGCCTTAGTTTTCCTGCACCTTGACAATAGGATTGCACAGATTTTAGCAGTATCTACTGATGACCTTAATAACTTAGAGCAAATAAAACCTTTCTTCTGATTGGGAAATTAATTGATTAGCAGGAATAAACTAAACAAATATTATTTTGCTGATCATCTCTTTTTCTTTACAAAACAACTTTGTGTTCCCAAGGATAAAATAAAAATTTCTTCTTTAAAAACTGTAGCTTCTTTAACTTGTTGAAAACTGCTGTTGCTGGTTTGGGTTACCAATAGGAAGTACTAAATGTTGAACAAACAAAATTTATTCTAATTTTTAAAAGAACATATTTGACAGAAGTTAAATAGCTTTTGAAAATACTTATTTTATTAATAAGGATTCTCTTACTTGAAAATTGTATTCATTTCAAAAAACTGCATTTATACATCTTTCTTTTTAGTAATGTCCCCAGATTTTGATTCTGAAAAACTTAGAAAGAAGCTAAAACTGCATTTAACTTTAAACATATTCTTAAGGCATAAAGTAGCCAGTGGGACTGTTCCCATCTGAAAGCTTTATAGGACTGAGGCATAAGAGTTAGATCCAAGATATATTGAAATCATCAAAAATCTGTTTACTGACTACAGGAGGCTTTGAATTTGTTTTTTTCATAAAAGTTTTATACAAAAGAATAGCTTTTGGTATCTGATATTGCTATAAGGAGGCTGCATTAATGACTAGACTTTTTCTTTCATTCCACCTCAGTGCTTTAGGTTTATGTCTAATCTGTATCATGGTTTAACAAAGCTACAGGCAGCTGTAAACTATTTTTCTTTAGTTTTTCAGGTTAAGTAAAAGTATACCAAACTGCTAGCATACCATTAAGCAGGGCAAATTTACTTATGTATGGTGCAATAGCCAGACTTTATTCGGTGTCTAGGTTAACTCATTTACAGCTGTATCAGCTAGCATGGGGGTCACTACATTACAATCAAACCATTTTTTTGTCCACAGCAGAGTCATCTCCCAAAGAATAGGCAGAGTTTTTGTTCCAGCCTATGAAATGTGAAATTGTGCATTCTTTGAGATAAACATTGGATGTCAGTGTTGCACCACGAAATTACAGCTCCAAATGAAACAGTGTAAAGTTCAATACTATAGTTAGGGTTACAATAGGACTGACTACATGGCCACCACGGTATTTGTTGGTACTATAGCAGAAAATGTGCAAGTGTAGAAATCAAATGTCATATATCAGGACATACAGAAGGCAGAAAAGAGTCTCCATACATGCTGATGAAAACATGAGCAACACTGACAGTGGCTTCTGGTGGAGAGAAGGAAATTGACTCCATTGCTTAATAGTACAATCCACCAGAAAATCTTATATTCCATTTCTTTTCATGGTTTTGATTAAGATTTGATTAAGACTTTGATTGCCTTAAATATTTTGATACTGACACTGAGGTATTCTAGTAAAATATTTATATTATTCATCAAGATTTTCTTAAAAATTAGGCCTTACAAAGTACCAGAAGCAATGCATTCTTCCTAATGATAAGTAAATTCCTGCCAACAGTCAAGCTTTGCGTCTCCAACTATAAGTTATTTTATAATAAAAGGAAGAAAGAGATTTAATAAAAAATATGCTCTGAAACTGGGCAGGCTACTGGCGCAGAGTAGAAGTCTTACAGCAGTAAGTTTTTTGATGCAGAAGTTTACTTTTTCAGAGATGTTCGTATAGGCCCCCCCCATCCCCCATTTGCACTGCTCAGTGCAGAGCCAGCTCTAAATCTCAAGACAGAGTAATCTGCACCTTCTCTACACATCATTCCTTCATAACTTTCTTATGGCTTCCTCCAGGCCATAGTATATTTAAATTCAGCCTACTGTGACAAGGCATTAAAATAGAGAATAGATATGTTTTCAGTGAGACTGCCTTATTTTATAAATTATTGAATTTCAATAAATAACTCCTCCATTACAGCCAGAGGATTTTGGTGGAGATTATTAGTGGAGAGGGTGGTTTTTCCTGGGTCTTACCTTGCCAGCTACCACTTTACTTCAGTGCACTCATCTTTCCTATCTCCCCTTGTTTTTCAGACTGTAACATAAACCTCCATAGGAAAGTGTCATGGATGACAGAAGGGGTCTTTCAAATACACAAATATCAGTTCAAGTACATGATGAAATTATTTCCAGTGACATTTTGCTGATGTGAACTCATTGCAACTTCTGTTGCTTTACAGCAGGTTAAAATTGTGATCCACACTGATTTTAAAGTTAGAACAAACAAGCATTTAGCCATTGAATGAATGGCATACTCAATTTTTTGTCAAGGTCAAAAGTACCTAACCTAATTTTAAAATCTTTTCCTTTTCTATACATTCATTCCATAAATTAAAGTGATCCAAAATAATTACAAATAAACAATATATACTAGTTGATTTTGTAAGTAGATTTCCTCTCATTTCCTGTTTATGCAAAGCACTTTTGAGTCTATTAGCCATTAGCTGCTCATAGTCCCTTTTGCATAGGGTTTTGTGAGCCTAAAGTGAATAGCATTTCTTTGTTCAACAGAGTTTGGCCGATAGGGGATCACGTGTCAATAGACTAATACTACTACAGTAAATAATGAAAATTGTAGCACACATAATTAGGGGATTAGAGAATGCCTTATTCCCATTGGTAACTATTCACTAAAAGTTAGAACTGTACTACTTGCATAAGTAAAGCAGTCATTAATGCAAGTAAGGGAATCACAGATTGGCTGTGGATCACCAAAGTATTTGTACAGACTGTAATACTCTAGTTTACATTGAGTAATCGCACATTAAAGTCAGTGAGACTGGTCAATTTATTCCAGTGTGTGTGATGAAGACACATGTAATAATGTAGCCATTTCTGTTACATGGTTGAAGCCAATAGAATGACCTGTAACAGTAAGAATTACATCTGGGAGACAATGTTTTCTGCTTTGGTTTACCATTAATATGAACTATATACCCCACATCTTGTATATCCCATATAGTCCCATAATGGAAGCCCTTAAGCCGAAATAAAGTATCATGTCAATAGTGCAACAAGCAAAACTTGCCATATCATGTCATTAATTGAACACATGCCAGTGTGTGGTTTGGTGGTTGTTTTTTTCCTAAGGATTCACACCTATTAATAAGTCATCATTAAGTCCAGAGGCCTACTGCTGCAATGTCTGTTATTTAAAAAAAAAAATTTTAAAAGGAGGGTGGAGGGCCAGAAGGAAAGAATGGAGAGGTGCTAATGTGACAGTATTCTTGACAGATTTGCTTTATCTTTTGTCTAGTGAATGAGCTGGAAAAAATAAAAGTCACACCAATACCCTAGTTTTGCAATAAAACAGTATTGTAGAAACAGATCTAATGTTTGCCATCAGCAGTACACAGAACAAAGGAGATACAGACCTTTATCTTCGTATTACTGAAGAAAGTGAGGATGCAGTTGCTCTCAGCTCACCTTGCATTCTAGAATAGAGACTAGAGCCTAAAGGCTAGAAAAGTCTATAGAAAAGACTATGTCTTTTGAATGCCTACCCAAGGCACTACAGTTTCCATCCACTGGACATGGACCCTGTCCTCACAGGTTCTCAATATCATCAAGTTTAGATCAGCATTAAGGATGTCTCTTTTCAATGTAATTGATTCAGATATATGTAAAGATGATTACATTTTTCTTTGTTGCCATATTTCTGTTTTGACAGGCAATGAAAATGAAAAGTGTTTATTTTATTGCTGGGCTTCTTTTAATGATAGTTCAAGGCAGCTGGCAAAATCCTCTTCAGGATACGGAGGAGAAATCAAGGTAAATTCTTTAGATCAAACTTCTAGAAACATTTGGCGTGAACTTTTTCTTATAGTTTGAAGCAAAACACACTGTGACTTAAAGATAGTTTTTTGTATACTATTACACAGTACTTAATCTACCATTGGAATTGGCAAAAGGTTTTCATATTGCAAAGGATAGCATAGAAGTTTTTGGTATTACAAATAGCTGCTTTAGTTACCTAAGAAGACCTTGTAATTGTGCGGTATCCAATCCATTATGTTGATTCATTTTACTAGCCAGCTAGTGATCAATATGCCACTTGCTTTTACTTTGTGAGAGTCTAAAACAGTATTTTTAAAAGAAAAGTCAATGCACCTGTAGAATGTACTATAACCACTGCCAATTAACAAGTTATAAACTTTTCACAGATCATTCAAAGCTTCCCAGTCTGAACCATTAGATGAATCTAGACAGCTGAATGAAGTGAAACGTCACTCACAAGGCACATTCACCAGTGATTACAGCAAGTACTTGGACACTAGACGAGCTCAGGACTTTGTGCAATGGTTAATGAGCACTAAAAGAAATGGGTAAGCATTTTGGTCACATTGCTATAGTTCTTCACATACAGAAACAGCCAAAAATCTGGCTGAATGCAGTTTCTTAATTTCAGCTTCCCATCACAGACCATGCATAACCCTCCAATAAGTAAAGTACTTAAGGAAAAATTATATATCATTTAATAATATATTTATTTATATAATTTAATAATATATAATTTATAATAGATACACACAATTAATATGTTATTAAAAATGGGGAATATATGCAAAATCAGTCAAAAGTATTTGGATAAATCAAGTGTAGTATCAGTGTATTAGCTGATATGCTGTCTAAAAAGACTATCTCAGCTTCTTTGGGACAGATTGTTTCAGTGAATGAATTAAGTTCAATAGGAATAAGATATGTAAATACAATTTGAACATCTGGGCCATTGAGCCTTAATAAAACTTTCCTATCTATGGGTACTCTAATCTTGAAGTTTCATTTGTGAAAAGGGAGCTAAGGTTTAAGTTTTGTTGACCACTGGATACTTTACCGGTATCACAAGTATAATGTTAAGGCATGAGTTGGCATGTTTTTTGAAAATACAAGCTTTGATTAAATACAAGCTACCAAGCTGAGAGCATGTAAGTCTATGCCCTGTGTTCTAGAGAAGGTATGTCCACAGAATCCAAAAATCTCTTATATTAATGCTTTTAAATCCCTATGGAAGTCTTTAAAGTAATGATTTCCAGATATTGTATTAACTTAAATTTATAAGCCCAAAATTATTTGTAATATTCATCTATCAGTCATGGTTGTTTATCATAATATTTAAATAATAACCAATAAAGTCTTATCAGTTTATGCATGCTCTGCAATGTACTGGCAATAATGATCTAATGACTGTGGAATTCCACTGCAGCCAACAAGGACAGGAGGACAAAGAAAATGACAAAATCCTGGACCAGCTCTCAAGGTATTCTAGTTGCCACAACTTGTTACTCAAAACCAGTTTGAGCTCATTTTCTGTTAAACAAGAAAGAAAACTAGTATTCTTTACAATGTTACCATAACCCAAAAAATACCTATCAAAAGAAATTATCTCGCACCTATTTTTCACAAGGAAAGAGGAAATGCCTCTATGTTATTTACTCCTGTACCTGTGTTCGATAGCTGTGTGCAATGGCTTCAAGGAATGCAACAGGATGAGAATAGATTTCAGGAAAGGACATTCCAAGTAATAAAGGAGAGTAGAGAATAAGATAAAAAGAAAAACTTGGTATAGAAAAAGGCTGAAGAAAAAAAAACTTGTTATGTTGAGGAAAAGAAAACCAGTGAGAAGACTAATGGAAGGAAAATGGCCAGGCAGCAATTTGCAGAGAGCTGATAAAACATGATACAATGCTCAGCCCTAAGCACTCAGTCCCATGTTACATAAACCACTCGTTACAGGAAAGGAGAGCACAAGACCTGCTGGAGGCCGGAATTTTGTTTCTTGACAATGTTTTTGGATGGGGTTGGGCAGTTGGAAATTTGAAACAAATAAAACAAAACCCCAGTGTTTTTGCAAAACAGATTGAAATACCTATATTCATTCTTCTTTTTGTCAGAAATTCCAAAGAGGATAGCCCGGATCACGAAGATCCTTCCATTCAAAACACAGTCCATATCAGTAACAAATCTGTAATAAAGTTTCTGCTTCAATGAAACAGCATATCTCAACAAAATTAATGTTTCATCATAATGTTCCAAACAACTTTAGTTAGCATGCTGATGAAGAGTGCAGATGGTACTAAATTAGGAGGAATGGTGAAATCCCAAGAAGATAAAAAATAATAGAAAGAGCTAAAGGCCCTGAAAATTGGGTGGAAATTAGCAAATTCTGAAATAGAAATTCTAGGGAACTTGTTTGTGGAAAATTTTCCATAATATGTCTACTTCTCAGTGCAGCTTGCCTTACGAAGGGGCACTGTGACATAATTTTGTGCTATATCAGAGAAAGAAGCGCAATAAGGTATAGGGAGGGAGAAGGAAATCATCTTTCTCTATTAGGCTGAGAAGATGACCAGGCTTGAAATTGTTCCAAGATTATCACTTGGTCAGAATGATGATTAAAAGGGTGTTCACAAAACAATTCAAAATGTAAATTCAAAAGGAATTAAGTCTGAACAGTTTGGCTAAGAAATAAAGAAGACGAAGGTAGGAGGAGTGGCTTAATGGAAATTTTTAGGTTAACACAAGAGGTAACAAGAAATATGTCTGTAGAATACAATACAGTTTGTTGATCATAGCTAATTGATTAATCCAGCAGACCATTCCAATGCAGCTATATTTGCTTTCAGCACCTGATTTGATTTGTTCAGAACTAGTTCAGGCATCTCTGCACAAAACTGTATTGCATAGCACAGACAATGCCTTCAGAACTGAAAGATATCAAGAAAAAAATATCAAGGGTAATTTGAGAAGCAAAAAAACCCCTGTCCCTAATAGGAAATGCTAGTCTGGTGGGTGGGAAATAGAAATCAGTAAAGGTTGAAAAAAAATTAAGTCATTATGCAGCCTGCTTCTAGAGTATTGCTCTTCTTTCAGCAATGCGATCTCCAAACGTCATGCTGAATTTGAGAGACATGCTGAAGGCACCTACACCAGTGATATCACCTCCTATTTGGAAGGTCAAGCTGCCAAAGAGTTCATTGCTTGGTTAGTGAATGGACGAGGAAGAAGAGAGTAAGAATCCATCCATTCCTATTATTAAATTTTGCCTTGCTTTTGAGGTTAGAAACCAACTCTGATGAAACCTTGATGTGTTTTTGATCATTCTTGCTGTACTTCATGTTTTTCTTTTGTAATAGAAGATATTCTGTGGGTGTTAGACTACCACTTTAAAATATTAAGTTCAAATACAGATTAAAACAAACCTGTTCACTATGCTGTTACACTCTAAAAGGTCAAGTTATATTTAAGCTGAATATATTTAAAACTAAACCAAACATTCCTCTACCACCTTTCCCCCTTCACATAACATTGCTTACAGTCTCCTTAACTATCATTGAAATGATTCAAGTCAGTGTCATGTTAAATTACTTTCTCTTTTTTTCCTTTTCACAGTCAATCTTTTCTTCTGCAATATTTCCAAGATTAAATTTGTACCAATGTCATCAGCTGTACTCTATGTGCTGGTGATCATTCCCAGCAGTAACTGATGACCTCTTTGCCTCTTCCCATGCCCCCAGAGTCTCCCCAAGTTGCTGCTGCCAAAATAACGATAATTTCCTACAACTGTGACTTATTTTCCTTTTTAAGACACCTCTACTTCTTTTGCTATTGTTCACAGTTTCCTGCACACCGTGCTCCACTGTTTTGACCTACCTATGTCTCTGATTTTTTCCATTAATATCATGTTCTCCACATACTCATTGCAGATTTCTCAAGCCTATTCACTTCATCTATTCACTCATGACTTTACATCTTTTTTTATGAGAGTCTTACACTTAGAAAGGCCTTACCTTCAGTCTCTGCAGGCACCTTCTATCTCATCATATTTCCAACTCTGCATGTGTAGGAGCTACACAATGCACATGCCACTCCACACCTTTTAACTGTTCTGTACTTATTTATGCCTTTAGACTGTAAGCTCTTTGGGGCAGGGATTTCAGTTCATCCTCTGCTTATATATGCTACCAGCTGTAAAGTACTATGTAAGTCTCTCGCACTATATAAAAATAATAAATAACAATAACAATAAAATATAATCTGTAAGACAAGATTGTGTGTTGTAGTCAAGGAAGACTAAATAGGTAAAAGTAAATTTTGTAAATAATGACAATTGCCTGAAAAAACAGAGTTAAATAAATGAGGTCAGCTATACAGAGAAGGGAAAGGCTGTTGCCTCTTCATAGTGATGTTCAGATTTGCAGTTGTTTTTCTGTCATATTTTATTTTCATGAGCAGAAATAGGGTATTTCAGTATCTGTAAGAGACAGAGATTACAACCTAGGTGTGATAAGAAGCTAAGCTTAGAAACCTAGATGGATAATTAAACGCAGACTACCCTTCTGCTTCCCAATATTTAGTATTACTTGTGGTCAAACTTATATACAGCCTTCCCTGAAATTATTGCATGAAAAGAACCAGTCTGCCTGTCATTGATCCCAGAGCACAGCATGCTTCTGTGTCAGCCCACCTTAAAGGAATTCATTAAAATCTGGTTTTGATGGGAGGAAACAAGAGAGGAAAGTTTTCTAAACCAGGCCCTTGGCATAATGGTATTCCAATGGTCAAAAAATGATAGAGCAAGAATGAGGATCTGATTCCAAATATAAAATGCTATTGTACAGCAAACAAGCACATAGATTTTATACAGGTGTTGTAATTGAGTTATTCTAAGCACCCCAAAAAGTTGCTGTTCTTAATATCTAAATACTTATGCAATCTAATTGTAAGTATATAACTAGGGTGTAAGTCCAATTAAAACAGAAAAAACGTATGAAAATTTGACTAATGTTTTAATAGTGATATTTCTTAAATAGCAATTCTTAGTAAATCTACTTTGAGTTTCATTAATGTCTAGTCTACTTGGCACAGACATTACAGACTGAGATATGTTTTTGCTTGTATGGCTTTTCCAAAAAATGCTAGAAAGGAATTTAGACTCACGTGAAGTAACAGTCCTCATCTGGTAAAGGGAGACTTCCATGTTTTATTCTGTTGTTAAAATAATGCTTCAAAAGATGTTCTGATATACATCGAACTGTACTGAGCCATAACATCATGCTCAACGCTTAACTGCTTAAAATCACTGGAAATGTGCAGTGTATTAGAATCCTGTAACGAGGCCCTTTTAAACAGTTTGTTTATTTTGATCTGCAAATTGTTTGATAATTTCTTCCCTTTAAAGTTTCCCAGAAAAAGCTCTTGTAGCTGAAGAAATGGGCCGAAGACATGCAGATGGCACTTTCACGAGTGATATCAACAAAGTCCTTGATGACATGGCTGCCAAAGAGTTCCTAAAATGGCTGATTAACACAAAAGTTACTCAAAGGTGCCTGAATTTTTATTGTGTTATTCTTAGTATACTGGAGTTTTAGATGTATTTGTCACACATAGGGAAAACATTGCTAATTTTTCTCTTAACTATTGACATCTCTCTAACTGTGTTACAAACTTTATTACAGACAGTACTGAACAATGATAAGACACTAAACAGAACTCATTCCAAATATAATTTGTATTTTGTATCAGTGTAAACCTATTTAATAGTTTCCTATTTAAATTGAGGGGAGTTTTGCTACTGAAGGTTACCAGAAGTGAGGTCATATTAAATTATTGAAAAATAAAACTCTCCTTTGCATGGGCATTATAAGATAAGACATTTTTATTGGTAAAATTACACCAATTTGAATATTTCTTTAAAGACCATGATGCAAAACAGTGCCTTAAATTGTGGCTTGTCATCAGGCAATAGGGTACTGTAATCTGAGCTCCTGATAGCTAACTATTTAAGAACCCTGCTTTAGCTTGCCTGTATATAGGCAAATCCTGTTGGAATTGCAACATTTTCTACCTGAGCTCTGCAAACAGGTTAATATTTAAGAATTATTTGTAAACATTAACAAAGCGTTTCAAAAATAATAAAATGCCAAATCAAGGCTCATGTGAGTGGTCAGATTTTTTAAAATGTTGGATGTCCACTCTGTAAAAATGAATTACTTCTAGTCTTTTGACTACTGAAGCACCCAAAATGACTAGTTGATCTTGGAAATCTGAAAAAAAAACATCATCTCAAAAAATTTAGAAGCTATAGGTAAAGTACAGTTTTTATTAACTTTTTAATATTTTTGTGTTTGTAGTTCAGTGTTGAAACAAACAATCTATTAGAAACTATTAAAACCCTTTTCCTTTAGGAATAATTGTTTTCAATCTGTTATTAGACAGAGGCATTGAGGGGTCTGTGGAACTAACATCTGCTAACTCTTAAACAGAAAAAATATGTTCCACACATATTTCATAAATCTTGGGAGATTTATAATATGTCCTAATTGCTGCTGCTTTCTTTTACAGGGACCTTTTGGGAGAATACCAGTAAAAATGCAGAATAAAAATGGGATAAATGAAGATCTTCATTGCATCAACTGCCAGTTATTAAGAGATTCTGAAATCTGTATTCTGTCATTTACATTGGGTGTAACAAAGCTATGTCACCTTGCATGCCAGGAAATAATTGTACTATAGTTTAGTGTTGCCAAAGGTTTATATATGGAAAACTTATTGTCTAAGGGATGGTTATCTTAACAGCTTTAAGACTATGAAAGTTCCATATCTTCATATTTTCCATTTATTAGGACTGAAGTAACTCCATTTATATTTAATGATAAAATTATTTTTCTAAAAAGTTGACTTCTACACACAAAGGATTCAATCACCAATTATATGTGTTATTTGTAAGGGGCTGGCAGTTACAAATGCCTGAGAAGTGAATATCCCTCTTAAAACCTTTGTTATAAAAAGGCTAAGCTTTAAGGATATTAAATGATAGCCTTAAATAAATTTTTTCAAGCTTCTTTTCTGTTGACTTTTCATGTGTATATCACTTGTGCCTCTTTGCACTCCATTTCATTTTATTCTAATACTGTAGTGTCACTGAGATCTTAGAAGTGGTTTGTTCGGAATGATAAAAGAAACTCAATATTTTGTTTTGTCACATTTTCTCCATAATAATTCTCAGAAAAGAACTATCTGAACCTTGAATTATCTTTAGTTGAAAAAGAAATCATGTAAGATGAAGCCAGAGGGGGAAACAAGACTTAACAGACAAGTATTCTTCATTAGCATAAATTCTTGTTTCTCAGCAAAAGCAGGAGGACAGCTTTGAAAAACATTAAGTACAATATACTCCATTAGTAGTGGAAACTGCCACATAGCGTCTTCAAATTTCATAAGATCGCCAAGTAAAGCCAACTCAAATGGCCCTGGGGTCACTCTAATCTGTGTTGTATTCTTTTCTTCTTTCTTCCTTCTTCCTCTGAGAACCGCTTTGTCCGTCAACTCTTGCATCTAGCAACATTCTACTGTAACTTACAAGCATAACTGTCATTTCAGTAACCTGTACCTTCTCCATTATGGTGACAGAACATTTTGCTTGCAGATCTCAGCATTTCTAGCAACTCAAACTGTTATACTCTCAGCTGGCCAGGGCATGTTTTTGTAGGTATGGTAGTAGCTGCAACTCTCAAGTAGCCACAGGTGGTTATGTACCTCTTCTGATGACTCCCTGAGCCCCCTTTTCTCCCCTTGCTATAACAGCAATATGCCAGGTATCTATATTAAAATGTCTGAAAGGGCAAGTGGTTTAAGAGAAAACCAAATGGGCTTAGCAAGTATCTAGTAGAAGTTGATGTGAAGCAGGAGCATTGTTGAATCAGAATTAGCACTGGTAACTTTTGCTAGGAATAACTAGTATTGTTTCGTGTCTTATTTGTTTTTCAAAGGCATCTGAAACTTTCACTGATGGTCTAGAATTTCTGGAAAAATAACATTAGATTGTCCTCCCAAAACGCTACAGGAACCAATATTCTCTGATTTCAGATCAGGACTGATCACACCCAACTTGGCATCTAGAACAGCTTCTTCACAGCAACAGAAAGCTGTTTTAACTTTCCAACTTTAAACAACTCAGTAGAACTTTGCACTAAAAAAAACCACCATAGCATCCAAAATACCACTGGAGATTAAAAAAAAAGTGGGAGGGGGGGAAGAATGTATACATATTTGTTGTTTATTTAATCCCATTTGTACACAGTGCTTTGGTTCCAAGTGCTTCCAGAACTGAAAAAGATTCAGTTATACACAGTTGGATCGACATGGTCCAGGCTGAAATGGTACAAACAGCTAACTCTTCTGTTTCCATAGATTGAGCAACTGTCTTTAAAATGTTTTATTCCACTATGTCCAGGATATTTAGTGCTCTGAAGGACAGGATTCCTGAGTTACAAATCCATTTTACTGTGGTGTCTGTCACCAGTGTATTTGAGCACCTCCTGATGATGGCTTTTTCAACTATGAAAATACTGTTTTCCCACATTTCTACAAATTATATGCTTTTAGGAACAGAAGGGTATAAATTATTTTCTCAAAGTTATGCAGCTTGGCTGGAACACAGCAAAAAGTATTTAATCTCTTATTTTCTGAGTCCCAATCTAGAGCATGAATCAAAAGACACCTTTTCTTCAGAAGTGAGATGAAGTTGAGCATGTTCTAGAAGTTCCAAATGCATGTTTTAGCTCAACAGGACTAGGACTTACACAACCTGAAATCACAGAGCAAGTCCATATGGGATCAAAAAAACTATGAGGTATGTGCTGGGTACTTCTAATATACACTAGATGAAATTCAGTGAATGGTACAAACACAGGGAGAAATAAATAGCAGTCATTTCTTTAAAAAGTGTCTTTACTAGAGAAATAGCTACACATCTGCAGGCTGAGAGAGGGTAGAATAGCTGCAGCATTTGAGCCTAGAGAAAATTGCTATTTATGTCTTAATCTTAATTTTGTACTTTAGTAAGGGAGAATTCTAGGCCTGCCATGCTGTGAGTGGTACATTGGTAGAGAAATTTAGGAACAGAGCAGCCTGAAGATTCCTTTTAAATAATAGATGGTTTTCAAAGTCTTCAGGCAATGGAGCAACAGCTGTCAGTTACTATGTTGACTGCATTGCCTGTGGTGCTGCTGCTTGTATGAGGGGGCTTCAATTTGGTCTTGGCAAATAAAGGAAGAGAAGCGGGACTGCTTAAGGCAATCAGGCTCAGGAGCGTGTTTCAGCATTACCTACAGGGCTACACCCTCATCCATTCTCAGAAACATTAATCTTCTTTTCAGTCAAGGACCCAAACTGTGTATAGCTTATTAAAATCACATGCCCTGGTGTACATGAGGGGTCTTGACTGACATGCTATAAAAGATGGCACTGCTGCAATGCCCCTCTGCACCTGATGTGAGTTTTAAGTCTACAAAAGAGTTACGGTATGGGTCCCATCTTATTTGATATACACTGTAAATGTATCACAGATGCAGTTTATGGTGCATAAACTTAATTATTTTTTTGTTTTCATTCACTCCACACTGACTTCTTCACTCTACTAGAAAACTGAATCTTATACCTTCTTTAAGTTGTATGAAAACAGTACCACTGGCCCAGATGTTTTGACTGTATGGTGTACGTGCAACTTCTACAATTCCGTATTCCATGAACACCCGTGTGTATCTGGACTCCTCTGTTTATTTGCACATGTGCTGCCTAGAACTTCCAGTTATAGTAAAAAGTGTTCTCAATATTATCTCCTTTAATAACTGTATTTTATATGCTGAGTGTGCAGCATCCTTCCTCTTCCATCCTATTTACTAAGTATCTGGAAAAATAAGCACATTGAAGCAAAACAAGACAACTAATTGGAATTAATACAATAAAAATGAACAGAAACCTGAGATACACTAACCATTCAACTGCACTCTGAGGACATGTGGCAAGAATCTTCAGTGGCCAGGAAATTAATTTTATAAAGAAAAATACATAAACTTGAAAGAACTGCATGACAGCCACTACTTGTCACATTGAAATGGTTGTCCCAATGACATAACCACAGAAAACAGGTTCTTTTCCTCATTTGCTCTCCTGATTTACAGTTAACACTCTCTTCACAATCTTCTCAAACAGAACCAGCGTAATGACAAATTACAAAACTGTCCTTATGCCATTTCAGCCTCAAAATGCAAAGAAACAAAAAGAAATTATTTCTGAAAAAAACAGACATTTTTAATATATTTGGTATCAAAAGACACACTTAGTTGAGTAGAACTCGAACAGTCCTCAGTGCTAACAGCACTTTTGCCTTCTCTTCCTCACAGCACATTTGAAGGAAGCCACTTGAATCAGTATAAAGCTTTCTCCAGCACATATTTTGTCTCCCATAGCCACACATTGAGACATCTGGAACACATTGTTGCACCTGTAAAGTAGACTGTATACCTTTTAGTCACAAACAATAATTATATTTTTTTGTTCTGCAGAGAGCACTTATGTTTTCCATTTTTCCTGTTTGACTTCTCCAAATATTTCTGAGGAAAGACTCAAATATATAAACAGACTTATAAAAGTCTTGAGTTTCACTGAGGCTAGAAGTCTGAAGGAGACATCACATCTGGTAGGCCCACCAAGTGTTTGGAAAACCAAACTTCAGGCCAAAAGCTGTATTTTGGTCCTTTCTAGTAAGTAGCTCTTCTTAATCGTACAACTTCTTTATGAATATTTTTGTGTTCAGCATACAATATGATGAACAGCTACGGCTTCTCAAACTTTACTGTGTAGCAGCCACTGGTGGATATTCATTTCTTTAATCTCTTTGCATCATATTAATACATACCTGATTGCAAATGAACACCATGGTATAAAGTAATTTGAAATAATTAGCTGGAACAGCTTTTTAAGTCTCAGGCTATCACAAAAGACAATCTGACAGAGCACCAGAAGCACAACCATTACAATCATTTTTGGGACCATGGGTATTTTGATCAGACAGGAGGAACTTGAGATTCTTCCAAGGTGTAGAGAATCACTGCTAGGAACTATTGCAACTAAATGGAAAACATATTCTGCTATGTTGACTCTTACTGGATCACTCAGGTGGTTCTGAGTACAGAGTCAGGTCCCATAAGCCTCTCTGGCATGACCAGAGTCAGAAGCACTACAGATGATTAGACATTTTGGTCTAGATAGGTGAATCCAGATTTCCAAAGGTACTTAAAATTGTGTACCCACTGAAACTAGCAGATGCTAGGCATATGGTTTGTCAGTGTAGGTCTTTTTTTTTCTTAGAATTAACCACTGAGAAGCATTAAAACCTTGCAGATAATCTCTCAAAATATTATTAAACTGCAACTTGGCTACCAAAAGCTTGGTAACATTCAGGTACGTTTTGTCACAAGACCGAGATTATAATTTGACTGTACTATATTTTGAGAGACAGTGATGATCACTACTTAAATGTTTAGAAAACAAAGCATGGATTGGCTGAAATATATATATATATATATATATATGTTGTGATTCCTACTCACTGGGAAAAGGAAAATTCATCCCAGGGGTGGGCGGGGGTTTGTTTTGTTTTTCTTTGTTATTGTTGTTGGTAAGACGAGAGAGTGCACAGTATACCAGATAGATATTTAAGTGGAGCTGTAAGACATTCTGAAACTCTGGTCACGCATCTCACAGCACATATGGGATACTAGTTTGAAAAGTAATATAAAAGACTGTCATTTCACTGTGATTTTACTTTATAAAAGTGGACTTATCTATACACAGAAAATCACATTAAGCAAGCTGTGAATTTGCAGCACATTAGATCCTCTGTTGTAAATTTACACTGAGCTGCATGGAACTAATGTCAGGGCACATTAATGGTATTCTTAAGGTAAACCAATATAGCTAGCACAGTGTAAATTCGTAACTAGTAGTAATCACTACCTTCAAGGAGAATGGTATACAATAGTGAGTAGAGCAAAGTTTGTATCTAGATGAAGTCTATTACCTTCCATATAGACAAACCTTTAATATTTGTAAATACTTTGGCTTACTCTAAAGGAGATGTATCTATTATAAAAAGTTACTAAGCCACTTCTAGATAGAGATTACTTAAAAAAACAGCAGCAAAATGCTAAATGCTGTGCTTAATCTGCAGGAGCGGAATGAAGGAACAAGCAGCACAACTTTAACGAAAGCTCTGACAAGTATTTTGAAGGCAAGACTAAGAACATTTGCTGTCTCCCCTGGCTTCGAGTCTCTTCCTCTTGCTTTAGCGGATCACATACGTTTTCTGTTCCATTTCTCAAGTTGTAAAATACCTGCCCCTCTCTCTGATAACAGCTAGTGTTCCGCAAGTAGAGGGGAAAAAAGCTAAGATGGGCCAAACCAAAAGCACAAACCACACCACTCAATAATTACATTTTGAGGCTAGAATTCTTCTCTTACAATAATTCCAGAAACTCCCGCAGCTTTCTGACTGCTTGGTGATACTCAGCTTTTTAAACAACCAAAGGCTTTATAGTTTTGATTCACAGGTTATTCTCAGTCTTTTCCACCAATTAGTGCTACTATCTCAAAATTCTCCTTGGAAATGGAATTGTCTGATGTGATAACCCAGGGTCATCTTCAGAGCTAAATTTTAAACTTTTATCCAATACTTCGATTTTTCTGGTCTTAATTTAAAATTCCCTGTTGCAGACTTACACATCCACCTCTATTTGATGCCAAGAACCAGTGCCAAAGAAATAAATATGAGCCCCTCCTGCAATTGTATCCGTCTTTCCGTGGCTTGACTGCCAGAGAAAGAAGTTCAAAGAGCAGAAACTTTGCGAGAAATGCTGGTGTTACCAAAGCGTTAGGGGCTCTGCCCCTAGCGTCTGAAAGGCATTTCACCTCTGGGGCCTCCGGGCGGCCGTTGTCCGATTTCCTACAGAAATCCTCTCAGTGTCAAAGCTCCCTCCTCTTTAAGGTACAGCTGTGTCACCGCGCTCCAAGCGTTTGAACCGAAGGAGAAACCGCAGCTCAAACCCCAACGCGCGAAGCTGCAAAGCCGGCAGGAAATCCGAGACCTCGCACGACCCCCCGGTGCCTGGCGCTGCTCGCTTCCTGCAAGGGACCAGCTCCCGCCCAGGCGCCCAGCGCCGCTCGCAGGGGAAGTCCCCGAGGGCGGCGGCAGGATCGCGGAGCCACCGCCCGGCTCCTGCGCCCGGGGC